CTTGTTATTTAATGATCAAAAATTATGTTTCCATGCTTTTATCTGATTTAACGTAACTTAAACCTCTCAGGTATGCGTGAGATTGTTCACAGTTCTGTTCATCTCACACAATATAGGTAATCGGTACATTACATATTTTATAACAAAGTAATCAATCCTGGCAATCCACACTGCCGAATATTTTCTGAGTACCCACTACTTAGAATACAATTCGACGGTGTTGTGTGGTATAGATTTGAGAAGAAATGTGTTTAATTATCACTTACTACTACTACTACTATTATTCTACTTGTAACGACTATGTTTTCGTTCACAGTAGGTATCACACACGGGATCACGAAAAAATAAGTAGAAAAGTCAAGTAAAATTTCACCCTGGAGCTTCCTAAATATTTCGAAGACCAATCACTGTAACTTAAAACATTCCATAACCGCGGACAAAAGAGATGGTGACTTATTACCCTAGATTTATTAAGAACTATAAATCTAAGGTGAAATATATTTGTTCCTTTCTTTCCTCACGGGATCAAAATCCTGTTGACTTTTTATGCAGAGCTGTGACGTAGCGAGCTTAAATTTTATTTTATAATATAAGCAAAATACGTATCAAATATACTTCTATCTTGCCAATAGACTAATAAGAATTTAGAATTTCATACCCTGTTATCATCCCTTTTAATAATAATAATAAATGAAATAACACAGTTTTCTTCCTCACTTTCCCGAAGAGCAAATAAATATGTAACATAATAATATTTGACATTACAGAGGGTCCACTGAGTATATTCTAGTGGCGTCCGTCCAAGCTGTTGTCGGCATCGATGCAATATTAAAGCGCTTTGCAGCAGAACGAGACGTGACTGCAACTGCACCACTCCTGCCATATTATCATCACTGCAAATATATCTGGATTATCTTGAACGTAACCGTTATTGATGGCGAAATGTTGCGACATTTTCTTCGAAACAGAAATGTGATTCTTTTTCGTATGTTAGAAAATAATATAAAAATACTACTTCAATGTCTAAGTGTATACAGTATCTCACATCAGTAAGTGTATAATTAAGTTTTTTCATTGAGAACAAAATCCAAGAAACAATTAAGTGTGGGAGAGCCATGCTTCGGCACGAATGGACCGGCTTGATTGGAGTGATACTACGGCCTCACAGAAAGCCGGCACGAATAGCCGGCTGGAAAGTTACCGGAGGCCCAGTCCTTCCCCCCTCCATCTTTAATCCTTATAACCCACAAGAGCCCGGCAACGTACTTGTAGTAACTCCTCTTATAACATAAAAAACCTTTTTGGTTGTGTAGTCAGAACCTGGACTGCATCAGATCCCCTGGGTTCGATTGGATGCTCCATCCCCCGACCAATAAAACAGTTATGAATAGTGCCTTTGGAAATAATATAAGATTATGTATGTTCTTTAATAAACACATAGCTAAAGCCTGATGACAAACCTTTCAAAAACACTACACCAAAGAATAAACATTTTAATATTTTTTGTCCTACATTCCAAAAGAAACTCAATCAATTATTTACAATACAAGCTTTTTTCTTTATTTCAGTGGTTCACCCATTTCTTTGCGTCATTGAATTTGTAATATGTTAGTCTAGTCTAGTCGCGACAGATAAAAAAACTGTGAACAATGTAAGTATATCTGCGATAATCAAATTGCTTTTGTAGTGAAATGTAGATTTTAAAAGCATTTGCGAAGACAGCTGTTGTTCATAGAATAATAGAGTTCATTTTTTGACAGTATTGAATTGTCAATGCGAATAATTTTTGAATACCTAACTATTTTATTACTACACTTTGTCTTTATATGACCTTAGTGGAAAATTGTTGAAAGTTATTGAAGTTGTAGACAGTTTTGTATACGAAGTTAAGGTCGATAAGGACATTTAATATCAAACGGTCAAGCTTAGTTACGAGAGCATTATTAAAAAAAATTAAGAGTACCAACGAAAGTAGGAACATACGGTATTTTACTGATTTCCAATAAGAGGAGATTTCTCACTAATTCGACGGAATATGTTTCGTCGCCGATAATTTAGTTATTTCTGAACTGATTTTAATGTTCAATATTATATTATAGGTATTATTTAAGTATACTTATATACAAGCACTAAAAAGACAGGATGCATATGATCAAGACAATTTTACTTTAGTAACCATATACTTACATATAAACAAATTGATTAAAAAAACATTTTTGAGAAGATTTTCATGGTTACGTCAAATTGACATGTGATGCATTTAGATCAACTCTTTTACTTTTGTAAAGATTACGAACTTCAATTTACACCCGATTTCTCCAAAATAAAAATGTACTTTTCGGCATGAAAAAACGAATTAAAAATCGAATTCTATTTGAATATCGAATTGTACACGTACTCACAATCTCAGCCAGTCATTCGAAATATAAATGTTTCGCGCCAACTTTTTTCAATTTCTCATATCAGATTTTCTTGTCAGCGCGCAATACATGTGAAGTTTTGGTCACAAGAGACGAAATTAAAGTCATATTTCAAAGCCAAGATGGCGGCAAGCAATGAGCAAGAATAAATGCACATTTAAGTAAAAACGTCTGACAGCGACCGAGTGCGACTCACTTAACTGACGACGTAGTTATACAACTCATAATAATGAATATTATTATTGTATTTTTTCACTTTTATTTTCTATTTCTCATCTAGGTTTCTAGGTATATTATACAATGCAGAGTTTTAAGAATCTATAACACTTAAAAGACTGCATAACTGCTACTATAACATAAGCACCATAATTTTTGGTAGCAACCTAAAAACTATTAAACAATACATTTTTAAAATTGCATTCCTTAAGTGATGAAGCTAACAGCTTTAAATATTTCTACGGTAGCGTGTTGAGTATGACCTAAATAAGGCTACGGATCGTTTAGGTAAAGTACTCGGATAGTAGGTCGATCTAAAGTTCACGAATAAATGGTTGAAGAGTACTCTAAGTTGTTGGGAATAAGTTGGTTGAGATACTGCGGGATATCACGCTGCGCTGCGAAGCTGTGCGAAGCTCCAAGCACTGGACTGTGAAGTCTAAAGTCGTTTTGATTGAAGACCTACATACATCTCGCCTGTTAGAATATAAGAACGAACGTTTGTCCATATGCTTCTACTTGGGTAGTTTTTTTTAATAATGTAGTAATGGTTTCTTATCTATACTAGAGGTGAAATTTGTATGTTTCAAAAGTTTGTATGTAAGGGGTAATCTTTGGAACTGCTGGTCGGATTACCAAAATTCTTTAACTGATGAAATGCTAAAAACATCACGCTACGATTAAATGGAGCCAAGCAGCGGGTCAAACCGCGAGGGAGTAGCTAGTCATTAAATATAAAGAAATTAGAAAAAAGAAATGGTAATTTGTACTGGCATTCGTTTATTTTCAATGCTATTTTACAACTGTATTCAAACTAATATGGTATGGTAAAGGTAATGAGGCTATCTATCCAGATGCAGATTCAGAATTTTTTTTCTATTTTATTTTATTCATCAAATGATTATTTTTCTGAAGTATGATTTTTTATATGATAGGTCGGCAAACGAGCAGACTGATAACCTGATGTCAAGCAATCGGTGTCGCTCATGGACACCGGCCCACCAAAGGAGTTACGATTACATTACCAGCCTTTTTGAAATTTTAATGAAACATTTTTTTTTAATAATATTTGTTACCATAACATAACAGAACACAATTACCTAGTTGTAAAAAACATTTCGAAACTCTAGATAGGAAATGTCAGCAAATAAATTTAACATATGTTGGTTTGCAGAATACTCCCAATAAATTCAAAGTCAAACATTGATTTGTGACAAATGCATGCCCACAATTTCCACGTTTCCGTCGTGTTGTGATATTCCAACTGTAATGCTTTCACATTCCAGATATGTGTGACATACGTCATAATCATATACGGTTGAATTTACATAATATGCTGATAGGAAATAAGGCACAAATAACCTTTTACTTTTTACAGAAGAACTCGTTTACAATATCAATGTTTTTATACAATAAAACGTTAAAAAAATGAAACAAATTTTTATTTTGTTCGTTGCCTTAAAAACCGTATTTTTACACGTCGATAGAAATTATAATCGCAATAAAAGAAACAAGGGAAAACCGTTAAAAATGTCAATTTAAAAATTTTGTTGTTCATTCCATGAGTCAACCCTTTTTGGAGTGGAGAATATCATTAAATGGCATCTCTTTCTCCGTTTGACCCAGAACCCCGGCTGAGCATCAGCCCTCTCGGTCTGGGTCTGGTTCTGGTCGGGTGGCGCATGAATCAATCTAAATACCTTAAATTCAGTAGTCAGCAAGACAACAGCAAAATCTCATTCTTTATTTAATTTTTTCAATAAGTAATATAATAGTTTATGTTTCAATTCATTGAAAAATAAAACGAAGAAGTGAGTAAATATTTGCGTAGAAGCGACGCGATGGTGCGAGGCGTGCGACGTTCATTGTACGCTCGCCGCAATAATTTATGCAGCTGCAAATGATTTCTTAACCGTCAGCAAACAGTTATTGAGCTTTAAAATTCATTCTTATTTGCTTTTTCATTAAGTTTCTTATTGTTTGATACTTATTTATAGGTTTATGGTAACTATTCTGGAAAGTTTAGCTTTAGTGTAAATTTATTAGTCTCGCAATCTTAAATGCTTCTGTTTAGCATTATGTTTGAGAATGTGATATATACTTTAGGCAAAGTATTAATGTGTATTTCAAATTTTATTGGAATTATCAATAACAAGTATTGATTGTACGAAGCTAATCATCTGCTTCACAAAATTATTTCCAGACCTTGCAGTTGAAAACGAGCAGTACCTATCTAGCGACTCTTTACGACTCTTATCGGATCGCCTTTCAACGTAGTAATACTAGGGATATGCTCACTGCCTGACCAGTGCTACTAAAACCTGAACTAGTTTGTTACCAAAGTAACTAGTCTTTTCACGCCCCTCAAGTTTGCGATAGTGGTATGAAGATTAAGTCTGTTTTATAGCAAAAGGCGTGGTATTAATAAACTAATGTGCACTATACGAGGAAAAACATTCGAGCGAAGTCACGACGTCAACCGCCTAGATTTCTATAGAATTGAGGACACATGTAATTTTAAATAAGACGTTAATAAATAAGTACTTAGCAGCACGAAGCGTCGATACATTTGAAACCCCTAGCTATTGTCAGATATGAAAATGTTCGAAAGAATTTCATTTATTTTAAATCTGCGAACGTACGCGGTCGTTTCCCGTCTTAGGCCATTTACGGACGAATACGTGTTACACGTGCCTACTAAAATTCTCAATATATAAGTATCGAGCTGTTGTATTTTTAATCTGTATTACTTGCGCTAGCCCCTCTGCACGGAGGCGCAATGCGAACTTATTAAACTTAAATTCACTCTCCCAACACTTACCGACCTTTATGGTTTGTGAAAATTGGTTGTAGGCTTGTAAGAAGGCCTTCACATAGAATACATAGTAGTTTACAAAATAAAGTGCTGTTAAATATTGCAGAAAAAGTTTTATTATGTACTAGCGACACGCCCCGCCTTCGGGTACAATATACAATACTATATTTCTACACTATTTAATGGATGTTATTATATAATAAACCTTACTTATCAATCACTATATTTAATAAAAAGAACTGTATCAATCATCAAATCCGTTACGAAGTTTTAAAGATTTAAGCATACATAGGGTTAGGGACTGAGAAAGCGACTTTGTTTTACAAATACGTAGTGACGCATGATAAAAATGTTTTTCTAAAGTTATTATTGATCTCATATTCTAAAGAGAGAGTTGGGTTTTGATATTCTATGAAATAACCATCGATTATTTTTAGTCGAGAATCGATTGATTGACATTTGTCTTGTCAAACGTATTCGTTCATCACTTGTTAGAACAAATGTGATGTCGAGAATACCTACTACTTTTCCAAATATTCATTAAAATGTTCCTTTTAATGCGATAGTCAAATGTAATTTTTATTTAAAAAATATTTATCCTGAAATCAAGGAAAAGGATTAAAAATATTGTCATAAAAGGCGCCAAAACGTCGAGCGCCATATTGTGACGTCAATTGTACTCAAATATGATGACAATAACTAATAATGAGTCCTGTTTTTACGTTTAAATTCACTTATTTGTCATACATTTTACAGGATACATCTATATGCAATGAATCCCGCAAATGCTTAGGAAATAATTATTTCTACTTGACACGCTAATAACAATTTTAGTACTTTTGACGTCATACAGAGAAAATCATAGCGGTCGGTGTTTTCGGTCACGTGGTAAACTTACAGATAATAAAACGTCAATTTAAATTAGAAATATAAAAATACTCTTACGTTTTTATGACAAAAAATATACTTTTTGCATTTCTTAGCACTAAAACTAAATATAAATAAAATTATTTCACATTTTTATGTTTTATCATGAAAATATCCTATTTATATAGAGGACTCGGCCTATTTTGTTCGGGATCAGCATAGATGACGGACGTATTTTGTGGTAGATATAGTCTACCTACATGTAGTGAGTAATATATGTATCTCTAGAACTCAATGTAAGTGTTCTTCCAATATAACTATTGTAAACTTTAGCAACCAGTTAGAGTTTTATTACAATTGTTTTAATTATAAAAATATAAGTGATTTATGCGGAGACTATAACTGATTTCCGAGCAAAGGTATGAAATAAAAAATTTGTAAGATTCTTCCGGAGACGGAAGTATGAAACATTTTAAGTCTTCTTATTAATAAATGCCTCTGTTTGGTCTGTTTACAATCTCACGTATTGTGTACAATCTCATCGTGTATGTACAATTTCTGTTCTTATTATTCTTTTTAAATTATCCCAACAAATCCCAGTAAACTTTTGGCACGTGCGTTATTACTTTACAGTACGATTGAAAATTTAATTGGCAGGAATGGGTCGATCAGCCTCATAAAAAACTAGCGTGGAACAACTACGGCGTTGTATTTCGCCGTATGAGTGAGGTTAACGAAGTCCCAATCTCCAATCCATCCCTCCTCAATCCCTAAATTTATTTATTTATTTTACACTTCTTGCACAACGTACAATGGCGGACTTAACGCCTTAGGCGTTCTCTGCCAGTCTACCTTTGGGTGGTGGAGAAATAGGAGTGGCAGGTGCATCTTTTTGATAAAAACAAGGAAAAAAAAACACATGCTACAAAATATAAATAATAAATTAAATATAAATAAAATATAATAATAAAATATAATAAATTTCTGAAACCCTAATCCCCAAAAGGCCGGCAACGCACTCGTAACACCGCTGGCGATGCGGTGTCCATGGGCGACGCCGTTAGCTTACCATCAGCTCGATTGCCGACTTATTACATAAAGAGAAACACTCGAAACGAAATGAAAGGTAATAATAAAAACAAAGATGTTTTTAATATTCCTTGGTTGGTTTTTCTTTGAAATAAATGAAAGGTAGCCGAGTGAAATGTTTTGTTCTTTTTGCTCAAAGAGTGAAAGAGCAGACGTTCACAGCATTGTTGTGTTGCAAACTAATTAAATGCAGCGCAATGAAAATGCATTTTCTGCATAAAATCAAGTGTTTGGTGAGTTTGACGAAAGGACTGCGTGCTTTGAGCGGCTTTAATTAATTCGATAGTGACGTGTTGAGTAATTTTATGTGCATTTCAGAGGTTGATGACTTCTAATAAGCTTACATAATAGCTGTAATAATAATAGAATGTAGTTTTAATTACGAATGGGTAATATTTTAAAGGCATGCCTTTTACGGCAATGATGCAAATAATAATATAATTAACTAGCTTCTCTCGCGCGGTTTCACCCGTTGCTCGGCTCCATTCAATCGAAGCGTGATAGTTTATAGCCTATAGCTCTTAGAAACATTGCCAGTTAATCATGATCGGTGAAAGAATTTTGTCAATCCGACCAGCGTTTCCGTAAGTTACCCCCTACATACAAACTTACAACCTTACAAACTTACAAATATACAAACTAACAAATTGTACCCCTTTATAATATTAGCGTTCAAGAAAACAGAAAAAAAATGTGTTATTGAAATCAATCTAAGAAATGTTGCTGAAACGATTTAACACATTAAACAAGTATGGTGAGCCAGGCCTCGGCACAAATGAGTGCTACGACAGCCTCACAGAAAACCGGTGTGAAACAACCACAGCGTTGTGTTTCGCCGTGTGAGTGAGGTTACTGGAGGCCCTATTTCTCCTCCTCCCCCCATTCCTTCCCAATGCTTAATATCAGAAACTTTTTCCCTAAAAGGCCGGCAACGCACTCGTAACTCCTTCGGTGTTGCACTAAACGAGTAAATCATCGAATAAACGAATATAACATATATATAATAGTCAAATAAATCGTAAATTTTCCATGAGAATTGTTCGTAATTAAAGTGCACGTTGACATTTCAGTATCTACTGAAAACTAGTGGGAGGGTATTATAAGTACGTAGCAACTTTGTTAATTTCTGAAACTGAAAGTTGACCTTTAAATTTCAGTGCTCTTTATTCTAATTGTTCTGTTGATTAAAGTTACACCTACACCCGAATATATTGCTAGTGAGTTCTCATATCAAATAAAGTCATGTCAATTGTTGTCCGAAGGGGCCACCCACTATCAAGGTTATTTTTACCACATACCCGAGTCAGCCCATTAAAAAAAAAATACTATGAATTCGGGTAGATTCAAACATTCGTGGACAGCTCGCGAGAGACTCCTAGGTTTAACACGTTTCATTACTAACATCCATCATGATTACAAAGTCAATAACAAATGATGTAAGTTTTTTAAAACGCTGCCTAACCCTAATGTTTTCTCCATCTCGGGCTCAGCTCGGCGCAGGAGAAGGAGTCAGTAAGAAAGTCAGAAGAAAAGAAGAGATGTTTTCAGTCAGTAAGATGCTGATTCTCATCCAAAACCATTGGATGAGTGTTCCACCTCAAAAGAAACACTTATTTTCTCTTACGCATCTACGAATTAAAATGTGGGAGAGCCATGCTTCGGCACGAATGGGTCGGCTCAACCGGAGTGATACCACGGCCTCACAGAAAACCTGCGTGAAACAACCACAGCGTTGTGTTTCGCCTTGTGAGTGAGGCTACCGGACCCAATCCTTCCCGACCCCCAATCCCTCCTCAATCCCTAAATCTCCAAATCCTTAATCCCTAAAAGGTCGGCAACGCACTCGTAACTCCGCCGTTGCGGGTGTCCATGGGCGGCGCTGATTACTTACCATCTGCCACCACTGCTCGTTTACCGATCTATTACATAAAAAAAAATAGATATAAAAATCCTCGAATCACAGTCCGACACAGAACAACATCACAAAGTTCTCTTTGTTTATTGAGTCACTGCCCCAACCATGAAGTTATTATATGTAGGTCTAAAATAAAAAAATACGATTTAGTATAACTTATGAATCCAAGCCTCGGATATAAGTCTGACCTAGTACCCGTGCATAACTACTATTGCAGAAGTAGAAAATCAACGCTGCCGGAGCATAAGTTTAAATTGTATAGGTTTAGTTAGTGAGAACTTACGTCCATTCTGTATAGCTGCGAAGTTAACTGTATGAGAATATATACAGATATAGTTTTCAACATACTCGTAAGAACTCTAGTAAATAAGGAAACGTATGTTTAATATACAAAAAATATGTTGTTTCTACGTGGTTGTAATTTTAATCAAATTTACAATTCGCTTAATCCTTATATATTCTAGAGTAGATTAAAGAATAGACTTGTATACATAAAAGAATGCGCAGGTGGGCAGGTCACATCTATCGAAGAACCGATAACCGTTGGGGTTATCGGTTGGGGAGACCACGTCTAGGCAAATGTAGTGTAGGGCGCCCTCCAGCTAGGTGGACTGACGACAACCGCAGGGTGGCTGGCAGTGGTTGGATAGAAAGAGCTGAACATCGAGCTCAGTGGCGTGCAATTAGGGAGGGCTATGTCCAGCCAGGCTGATGATGATGATGATGATGATAAAAGAACGCAAGTCCACTATATGTACAAATATCTAAAACTTATTAACAAACTTCGAAAGTACAATATAGTATGAAACACAATTATAAGTAACTAGAAAAGTTGTTCACCTTGCCAGCTATAACTAACTTCGAATAATTATCCAAATAAACGCCAACACGTCCAACTTGGACATATTTTAGTACCACGTCATATACCTTCAATAACGGAACAAGGAAAACAAAGAAACAATATGAGGCAATAATATTTTATTAGGTATCAATCAGGCGATACACCGAGTGATTGGTAGAGTTGCCAAGATCGCGAAACTTCGTCAAACTTCGTCAAACTTCGGCAAGTTTCGTTGAGTTCCCCCCTGACGCGACGTGGTCGTGACGCGTGGGAACTTTGCTCTCACACAATACCATGCAACTTCACTAAATACCTGAAGCTGTGCATCCAAGAGAAACATCTTAGTATTTAATTAACAAATAGAATCTAATAAACTACCTAGTTGAGTGCGCAGGAAAATCTGCGGATGGAAGTTTCCTGAGAACTAAGTTTGTTGGATTATTCTTCAGACTTTATCAGTTGTTGAGGAAAACTTATTATTCTAGCTGAGTCAACTGGAGCAAATGGGACACTTACGGAGATTATTATACTAACTGTCCCCGCGGCTCCAATTAGTCGGATCAATCGTTAAAGAGCATTAACGTCCGATAATGCGGCGAAGTAAACTTTGTGTTTACCCACGGTGATAATTCAAATTTGTGTTCGACGAGCGACGATATGTCTTACTTATCCCACACCACTTTAGTTCACGTGTCATTTCTACCACACCAAACACTACAACGTGTTAAGTTGTACTTATAATAAAGTCACTGTAAAAATTTTACTGCCATTTGTCATGCTCCCAACGTAGTTGGAACACTGCTTAACTAACAAAAGGAAAAGAAACAAAAAAAAAAAAATACAACTTTGCTTAATCAACCGTGGAATAAAATTATTTAAATTCAACAAACGAGTCTCCGTTGGTATTCTTGGATGATATTTTTTACTATTTCATACTTAAAAAAGTTGAGTTTTATATTTTATAACTTTTTATAAAGGTACGCTGCGCTGGAAGAAAGCATTTTTTTTGACGTCGGCTAACTTTTTACTGGGTTCGCGAAGGAGGAATTTAATGTTTTTGTTTTTGCTATTGTTCATCTGCCATAGATAAAGTCAACGATTTATGGCTGTCGTAGAAGAAAAAGCAATTAAACTGAAGCGACACTTCATTTATTATATTAAATGTGCGAACATTAGTGTGCCACAATAATTAATTAAGTAAAAGCCTACTAGAATATAATAAGATGGACTTTCATATTCCAAACAGGTCTACCTACTGTCTGAAATTATACTTCAGTACCTTCCTAAATTAATTACAAATCTCTTGTTACCGGCTTTACTTTTCGGAGATAAGACTAGTTTATAAACCTATTTCATTGACCATCTGTGATGAGATCTGTATACATAAAAAATGTCTGAATTGGAAGTGAATTAATTGATTTGTTTACTGATTTACTTAGTAACCTCATTATAAGTTATACGGAAGAAGGTACTGTATTAACTACTGCTTTTTTATATACCTATGCCAACAACTGAGCCCAAAATCATAAATTTTATTTATACAAAACAATGATTTTAAACACCAAACAACACTGAGTTTAGTTCTCCAAAACTATGGTTTGAAAAAGAATTACAAGCCACCACTCACACAAAAAGTGTCTCTCCTTTATTACCACGCTAAGCAGACAGGTTAGAGACCGCAATATAAAAGCTTGAGGCTTATAAGATACAAGCAGACAGTAGAGTTGCTCTGCTTTTATTAACTGAATAGTTATTTAGCAGGCTTTTATAATACCCATGTGAAGAGCAGGGATGGTGGTATCCGACGCAATCCAAAACAAATTACTGGCAAAAAGTACAATCGAAAATAATACACTGTTGATAAATGATTTATTTACGACACATATCAAAGATGATATACGTCCGGAATCCCCATTACTATCCTTTGAGACATACTTGTTAGTGCCGTGTCTAAATGTCAATAAAAATTCACTTTCTTTGATCCGAACCGGCCGGTCGGCCGTTTAGAATATCTTTATTATCGTTTTGTAATTCTTTTTTAAGATTTATCTTGTGTTAGTGTTGACAATTGAAATGGTTTTATATAATAGCAAACTAGAAGACTACCTTCCTTACCTGATGGCAAGCATTCAGGGACACCCATGGACCCCCATAAAACCAGAGTTGTAAGTGCGTTGCCGGACTTTTGAGAATTAGGGTTTGGAGATTTTAGGATTGAAGAGCGAGAGAGAAACATAACGCTGTGGTTGTTTCACGCTGGTTTTCTGTAAGGTCGTGTCATCACTCCGGTCAAGCCAGCCGATTTGGGGTGGCTCACATGGCTCTCTTTTATGATATCTATTGTTTTATTTTCATAATATTCAAAATAGTTACACCCGCGCGGTTCCACTCACTGTTCGGCTCCATTTGATTGTAGCGTGATGTTTTGTAGTCTGCAGGTAGCACTCGGGAATATTGTAGCTATCAATGATTGAAAGAATTTCGGGAATCCGACCAGTTGTTCCAAAGATTACCCCCTACATACAAACCTTCAACTTTACAAACTTACAAATTGTACCTCTTTATAATATTAGTATAGATATAGATAATTACATTAGCTTCATTCAAAACATTACATTTATTTATATTTTCTAACCGAAGGACTAATTAGTCTTTTGATATTCAATTATTTATTTATTTATTTATTTATTTCTACTTATTACTTTGCCATTACAGGTAACTTACTTAACCTAATTCGACATAGTAACTTAAAAATTAAAATATGTTTCTTAAACTAGTTTACTAATTAAATTAGTTTACTAATTAAATATCAAGGTAGAAAAATAATGACGAACCCTTTCATACTAATCGATGTTCAACCATAAGGCATAACCACGTCAATTTAATCGTCCTTGAGACATCAATACCTAAAATGGCCTATAACATACATCTAAAGTAAATAAACAAGATTTTTGTGTTAAAATTACCAAACGACGCGTATAAATTGTGTAGACGGTGTGAAATCGGTCTCGACGCGAGTGTTGAGTTAACGAGACACTCGGGGGAAGCTCACTACAAATAGCCGTGCATCACACCGACGCGTAACGACTGACGACACAGCTGGGATGTGTGTCACGAATAATGTGTCCACTGAACTAAATAATTGAAAATCTAATATTCTAGTATTCTGTAAATGTAGATACGTAATATGGAAATCTAACTAAATTTACATTTCGTTGGATTTGAGGTGAGGTTATGATATGAAATGATATGATATTTCTATGATAATATCGCTTGTTAAACAGAAAAGAGACCTAACTCAAAAGATAAAGTATTTCAATCTTAAAAATTATGCTTCAATAATAAGGTTCAATTTTGGAATATCCTCATTTTTGAGTTAGGCCTTTTTTCTATTTAACCCGCGATATGTGTATCTGTCTTCTACATAAAGCTAAATACCTAAATAATAAATTTGATTTTTGCATTTGGTCTAATCTGACACACTCTCTGACCCCGGCCAGGGCGAGGGTCATTTGAAATGAATGAAACCGTGCAGCCAGTAATTTCTTCTTGAAATGACTCATTTCAAGAAGAAATTACTGGCTGCACGGTTGTTTGCATGATCCACAAATTGTTACCAGATCAGGGCGTAATTTATTTATGACAGAAGAATTCTTGTGTTTTGTGTGATTCTTAACATCATCATCATCGTCAGTCTATAAGTCCCCACAGCTGAGCAATGGCCTCTTTTCTCACACAGAGGCCTAAAACGCCTGGTCGAGGCGGATTTCAAACTATGATTAAAAGTATTAGTCCAGGTTTCCTCACGTTGTTTTCTTCACCATATGTGTGGTGTCTGAATAAACATAGTAAATACAAACAACTCTGATAAAGTCCCATTGGTACATACCAGCATTCAAATATATAAATTAAATTTGAGACTAATTATTTCAAATCAAGAGTACCTACTTACAATAAATTATATTATAGTAACATCGCTCAATTTTTGGTTATAAGATTATGCTCGCTATTGGTTAGGATTGTTATCCAATTTAATTAATCAGCCACTCACAGCCTCATCCTGCCATATTAGGCCGCCTCGTAGTTCCCTTCCTAATTCAAAAGTATCAGCAATTACTTTTATAATTTTGCAATTGTCTAGGTTTTTTATTCGTACCCTCTGGCATGGAAAGCGGGCGCCTCAACCTACGGGCTACCACGACCTACGATTCTTAACACGGTAATTAAGTCAGGTCCATCTGGGACAGCGACGGTATAATCTTGGCAATATTCCTAGCTTCAGTGGGCTATTAATGAACAAAGTTACTCGTACTCGATGCGGTATAGTGATTTATGCAAAGAGTTTAGCCACGCCACCACACACAGCTTGCATTCGCTTTCCTGCTGCATTTACTGTTGTACAGTAATCTCTGTTGTATCTTCTGATTAGTTAATATTCGATCTCGCAA